AAAATTCTCTCTCTCATTATTCAGGCATTTAGCAAATAGAAATAATTTTGGTAATCCTAACTGACCTAAAACAGGAAAGGTTTGTCACATTTAAAGTCAGACAATGAGAAAAAAAAGGTTATATGTCTTTCTATACAGTGTATGTAAACTTCTGGTTTTTGGTCGGTCAGTAGACATAATGTGACATTTTGTAAACAGTGTCCACTATGTCTCACACTGCGACTGAAAGAGATTGCCAAATGAATTTCCTCGTATTTTCATGTACATTGACAATGAAGGCATCTTTAATTTTTAAAATATGCAGCCAAGTATTTGGCAGTTTTATGAAGCTGGTTATGAACTTGCTAAGTCGACTCAGAGTTTCTGTGTTGACATGAAAGAGGCGGAGTTGGTACCAGATGACCAATCACAAACAGAGTGGCACATTTAACAAAGAGCACACTATAATATTAGAGACATATAAAGAGTTTAAACACATAATGCAACCTTTGTTTTCCACATGTTCGATGCATCTGTTCATTTAAGTTGAAGGAAAGAATCCGAGCTGATTTAGTAATTCAGTGATTCTATAGATCCAACATATATCTTTAGTAGTGTTTCAGCTTTGTAGGCTACAGCACCTTAAAACCAGAGCTGTGGAATCGATAAATGCTGGTTTTCCAACTTGCTTTTGCAGATAATGTAGCTATAATTAAGCTATTTCAGTCATGCAATTGATTTTTTGAGCTTTTAAAAAAAAAAAAAAATTTTATTTCTTTCTTTCTTCTAACAGACATAGGAGCCATGAGTACATCTTTAGTTTTGTGATAAGGCTAAGGGGCAGATTGATTATTGTTATATGATATATATATATATGATGTATTTTGTTGAACACATTGGATAGGGGGATAGCGGCCTCTGTGGATGGATGGATGGAGATTTAAGCTCACATACTCACCTGTTCAATGTCGGAGGAAGAGAGAGGGGGTGAGCTGGGTTGCTGTATTTTTTTGTTGACCGCTATTTTGCTTGATTACTTTGATTTGGAGTTTTGCATACGTTTGTATGAGTGAATGATGTTGTTCTCCTTTATTAAAAGGCAAAACTTATCATTCCTAATCTCAGTGAATTATTACTGAATTGTGCATCAGACAAACAGACCCAATCTCAGTCTCTCAGCGACATGAGATTTGATAGAGCAGTGAAAGACAGACAGGAAAGTGGGGAGAAGAATGGAGGAGGAGCCCTGCAGCAAACGGCCGTGGGCGGGAGTCAAACCCACGACCGCTGAGTCAGGGACTATAGCCCCTCTTTAAGCATTTTAAGTGTTGAACTGACCTGATCTTTCAGCTGAGCGACCTTCTCTTTGAGCAGCAGCTTGACGTTGTGCAGCGACAGCTCGATTTCCTTCATGCGCTCCTCCATGTTCTTCATCTTCCTCTCCCTGTCATCCTGCTGAGGAGACAGTCGAGGAGAACATCAAGATGCTGCAGATGCGATAAAACGGTGATAAAATGTGCATTTCCCGGCCCTTTGAGCTGGTGTGAATGAAAAACAGGAGTCAGAAACCACATTTCTTGTGAGCTAGTCCATTTATTTTATCTGGATAATGATTCCTGGTACATATCTAAGGAGAGGACAATGAGCTAAAAAAATAAATAAAATATAAATAGGTATAAAATGATGCCCTTTATTCCAGAGACTTCTACAAAAAAATAAATTAATGCATAAATAAAATAAATCCTAATGTGATAAAATAAAATAAATAGCAAATGAACAAATAAAATAAAATACATTCGATTCTATACATGGTGGGGGGAAAACAATCTCACTACATGACTCGAAAATCACAACACACACACATGACGATAATAAATCTAAAGACACACTACGATGATTTGGTTCAGGTGGATTTTCTAATTAAAAAAAAAAAAAGCCAGATAAACATTCAAAGTTAATAGTTACGTGTCTGAACAGTCCTTGCTTGAGAAAAAAAACAGAAAACCAGAAAGATGTGAATCACTTTGGTTGTGCAGCAGCAGCAGCAACAAAAACAGGCCCAAGATCACAAACGTAACATCTGACAGAGAGTAGGTAGCTCAAAGGAACATTCAAATATGTGTCAAATATTTCATAGACAAGAGAAGACAAAACTGTAAAACTGACTTAGAAATCTCTGGACGGTAACATGGCCTGACGTTAGCAGGCGGGAGTGGGTTGATTGTTAGAAAAAGGCTCAGAAGGCACTAACTTTGCCTCAGCGCGACACTCCTCGATGATCACAAGGCAAACACAAGATGTAGCCTCTGAGGATGTACATACCCTGTCTCAAAACATTAGAAAATATCAGAAAATACACCCTAGGGTTAAAAAAAAAGATTCCCCGTAATGAGGAGAGATATTAAAACTACAAAAGGTTTGGTCCCAGTTTGTCAACACTTCAGTGCAGAGGAGGTTACATTTCATACAGCATGTCTGACAAAATGATCATTATTAAAATCCCATTGGGAAAAACACCAGGAGCCTTTTTTTTTGTCTTCTGCGTTTTCCTGCCACCTAGCAGCAGTGGAATAAAATTACACCTTTGCGCCCTTTTCAATCAGGCACCTTGTTTGTTCACAATCTCCTATAAGGATGCAGTAAAAAAATCAATCACGTGCTACAGACGTTCGCTCCAGACACAGCAGAGGAAGAGCAGAGTGTGAGGAGAGGTTAGAGCGAAGAGCGGGGAAAGACGCCGGTGTTACAGTCCACCGATCCGCCGGTAGCTGTCTGCGTGAGCCGCCCGCTGCTCCGGCATCGGCCCCTGGAGAGAGAAGGCAGGTAAACTTCACCAGAGCTCCACCCTCACCGCTAGACCTACACACCGACACAGGCTGGACACACAACGGCCACTCACACGGATTTTTTAGAATCAGAAGAATTGTCTAATGGTCTGATAAATAAATGTAGACAATAAATATAAGCTGTGAAAATGTGAAATAATCCCATTAAATCTGCAAAACACACTGCAGAGAAGTCATTCCTGCTGTAAATACTGGCAATAAATAGATACCTTCATCATGCATTTTTAAACTAGAAGATGTGACAAAATCTACAGTCTCCTGTGCAAAAATTTGTTACAGCATAAAATGAGAACACTTATAAAGATATTTGTGAAATTTTAGCTGGATATATGTGATTTTTTTAGGGATATTTTTTTAAAAATTGACCTACTTTCAGCACCTTTTCCACACATTCAAATTTGTACTCATTGAATGAAGCACAGCTGTGTAACTCACTGACTAGAAAGAGATTTGAAAAAACATGTTTGTGTTCTGTGAAGTCAATACAGCATCCACAGCTGAGAAAAATCTATATAACGTCATGTATTAGATGCGACTTGAGTGCCATCCACTGGTCGCTGAATAAATTACGACAACAATAGTCTGCTTATGAAGTGGATTTTTATAAAGATGTTTATGAACTTGTAGCTTCATATAACAAATACTTTCCAAGATCGTAAAAAAGAAAACAAAGATGCTCATCTTTCAGCATGTTTTTCTGGATAATAAAATTTGAGGCTATGTTTGAACAGAAAAAAAAGCAGTGCAGAAAGTATTTGACATCAATCTAAAATTCCACAGATACCATTTTAAATATCCACATGGATCCAGTGTCCTTCACAGATGACTGTCCCTCCACTGCAGCTCAGCAGGACAACACCGAAAACTGATTTGGAACTAAATAAGCATTTAAAGGTGGAGCCAACAACTCTGATCCCACATACATTTAGTGAGAATCATCATCTTGTCACACAGATTCATGTTTGCACTTTGTGTTGAATCTATGCTGTGCTGTAGTCTGTAATGCTCGTACACATCCTGGTGATGCAGATTACAACAACTGTGCTGGGACTAATATGCCAAGTTTATACGATGTACTGATTTAGACAAAGATAAAGCTTCTCTGAAATGAAACATAATATGTAACAGGCTGTAGTTGTATCTGGCTTGCTGACAATGCTAACGCAGCAGCCAGTATCCTACCTTTCCTCATGTTCGTAGCTCTACCGATCTCTATATTGACTCAATCGATTTCAGCATCTTCTCTCTTTCAGTAAAAGTGAGTGTTGTTTAGCATTTATGAGCTCCAACATTATCCGCTCAATGTCAGTTACTTAAAATACACAAAGAAACTCAACACAGTGGAACAAAGACCTGAAGTGATCCCAGCCAAGTATCACAGCAGCTCAACACAGGAGCTTAAATCAAGCCTGCCAGTGATAATAAACCTGGCAAACGCTGCCCATCTAATTATAAACAGGCTTTCTCCAGAATTGCTGACTCCACCTTTAATGCTCATTTTAGCTTTGGCTCCACCTCAGAAGTTATTTTTGCACAGAACAAGGACTGTGGATTCTGACAGCGTTACGACCAGCATGAACAGCAGGAATGATTGTGCATACGAGCAGGTTAGTATTGTGTTAATACGGACATGAAAACAGATAAATGTCATGATGCCTTTTTTTCTTTTTTTTTAAAAAACTTTGCTGGAGCAGTTTTTAAATCAAACATCTTTTTTTTTTGAGGGCTGTAATTTAATAATTCCACATTTTGGCAAATAAAACATAGAAAATGTGACAATTTCATGATTATATGACATATTGTCAATAAGTATTTCTTATTAACATTGTGGATGTGGAGAATTACTTATTTCGCACAAAATTACTTGAATACTGCATGCTGATGTAGCAGTGAACAAAGATGTGTTTAAACTATGACTATAAATCAGAAATTAGTACAAAATCAACAATTAACTTCTACTATACTTGCAAACATTCCAATTCATCTAACAACTGTGCTCAATATGCATTCATACTGACTCCACTGTGTTCTCGGTAACCTATTGGTGACCAGTAATGTCATGCTACACATACAAATAAAGTGACTAAAGGCCAGATAACCAACTGCGTCTATCTGTTGGAGGTTTGTGTGACATGACAGAAGGTGAGAAATGGAAAAACAGTCAGCAGCAGCAGCAGCACACCCAGATGATCACACCACCGCGACTACTCCAGTCCCGAGATGGAAAACCAAATAAAGACGGTGACTTTAAAAACAAAAAGACACACAGAAACCAAGGGACTAAATACCAAACCCAAAAAGTAAATATTAAAGTGTGACATAAGTAGATGAGGACAGACGAGGCGCTGAGATGGATGTGTGACGGAAACCAAAACAAGGACCCGGCTTTCAGACACAAAGAGGAATGGAAAATTAAAAATAATAAATCAAGAAATGAAAGAGGATTATCACAACTAGATGACACTCAGTTCAGGTGTTTGGAAAATGATGCACTTTTTCAGCAGTTTATGATTGTTTCCAGTGTTTCCCCTGGTTACCAGGGAGCTAGCTATAGATAAAAATTAGACCATTTGTCAATTCTCTGTTGTCTGCTCACATTTTTACTCACTGTGAGCTCATTTTTCAGTGCAATGTAAAGTCATGTACCTCGATGGAAACATCACAACCATGACCAGAACTCAGAAATGTCTTTACTACAGTGTAACAAAGTTATAAAGCCATAATTGTTGGGTGTTTCTGTTTCTGCCTTTGTGAAGCGCTATGAGATGACTTGTTGTTGTAAATATGCGCTATACAAATAAAATTGAATTGAATTGAATTGAATAAATCATAAAAAAAAAAAAAATTAAAAAACTAAATTTCCTTGAATCTTTATCTTACAAAAATTGTAAAAATATGAAATCAAAATGTACAGTATTTTCACATGTTTTATCAGTACTGGAACAAAATGCTGGCTCTATATACTACTTACATTTTTAACTTGTTTCCATATCGTTTCTTACCTGCTCTGTGTGAACACTGCCTGCAGTTCAGCCAAAAATGGCAGAATCTTGATAACAGAAACTAATTATTTTTGACAAATATTTAAATGAGACATGTAAAATAAAGCAATTTTAATGAGATATGGTGATTTTAAGTTGAAAATCTGATGAGATTTCTATTTTTAAGGTTTTTGCCTCTGTAATGTGGGAGATTTTTAGTTTTTTTTTAAAAAGATAACCTGCCTTTTAAACCCAGTGTGAAGTTTTGGGCTTTAGACGGTTGAGAATTGTTAGTTCTCTTCTGCTTCTGAAATCAAGTGTGGGCCAAACTGCATAGCTAGCTGTTTCCTAATGCGTTCCTATCAAATGATTTGGTTTGCTGTAACGTTTGACTAATGTTTAAACTGCAGGACTGTCACCACTCTTTGCATTATTGTTGACATCTACTCGTGAAGTTTGCTTGAACTGTCCTGAACACAAAGCATTTGTGGCTCAAAATAATCTAATGGTATTTTTTAAAAACACCAGCAGTGGCGGTCATATGAAGGAAAACACTGGATTTCCGAAAGAACGGTTATTTGTGATTCATGTGGCATTTAAAATATGATTTTTTTGGACCTGTTCGGGTTCTTATTGTACATTTTGTTATTGTAGGACAAGCACAGGTTTTTAATAGCTGCTTTCATGCAAAAAAAAAGTTGCATTTCCTTGAAATTTACGGCAACTAGGCACATAAAATAATGTAAAATGCATTACTTAGCACCTGAATTGAGTGATTTATGAGAGTGCATGAAACATAATGGGTGTATCGACATTTAACTCCCATTACATCCCTTTAGAACCAGGTAAAACATGACATGTGTAGAGAACGTTTCCCCTCTTACAGGCTGTAATGATGAATTTATTGTCATCTGACAACAAATAACCACGATGTGACAAAAAAACAACAGTGACAGAAAATGGCAGGAGATGAATGTAATGCAACTCTGTGTAATGATGCAGTGGTGCTCCATCTTCAGGCTCTACAGAAACTGCAAACCAGACCAAGTTTTTTCCTTCTATCCTGATGATTTAATTTGAAAGCCTCCCTGAGTAGAATGCAAACATGCAGCTCTCTTTTAGCTTTTCAACTATACTTTATCATAAGGTTTAAATCGCACTGTACCTGCATGTTGTCCGGATCTTCGCCACGATGTTGTCCTCTCGGCATCCTGTGAGGTGACGGAGGCAGAAGTCCGACTAACTGAGCCTGAAATGCCTGAAAGTGGAAACAAAGAGTAACACAGAAGAATTTATTATAACAGATGTGATCATGAACTGCTACTGAGATGTGAGAATTTTCTTTTTCTCTACTTGAAATTGAGCAAAAACTGAGTTAAAAGCAACCACAGCAGATCATACATCTTATAGTAAAAAGCTCTAACAAAAGCCCAGAAAGTTGGCATCACGACCTACCTCCAGCAGCTGTGTCGACAGTCGGGTCATTTGGGCCTTGAGCAACTCGTTTTCCTGCTGAAGGCTCTCCAGCTGTGTGTGTCTTTGTCCAGCTTCGCAGCCCTGAAATCAAACAACGCAATAAGAATTTAGAAGGTCGTCACATAATCTGGAGGTGTGAAAGCATCTCCTGTTGGGATGAATGCAGTTTATACCTTAGTCAGCTCCCTTTGTGCTTCGAGCTCCTGTTTCAGAGAGACGTTTTCCTGTTCCAAGGCCTTCAGCAGGGAGGCCTGACTCTGCTGTTTGTGCTGCTTCAGGGACACGATGGTGGCATCGAGCTGCCGGACCTGCGGACACAAGATAGAAAGATTAGCAACAGAGAGGTAAATGGACACTAATACGCTTGTCTGTCTTTAGTATTAATGCCTCTGCTCGCCTTTTCTCTGGCCTGGACGAGGTCGCCTGTGATGCTGCCTACTTCTGCCTGAAGCCTCTCGTTTTCCTGCCTCAGCAGCTGCTGTTCCTGCTCCATCAGTCGGGACATCTCGTCTCTGTACAGCTTCTTGCTCTGATGCTGCAGGCCGCTCGAGTGCAAGGCCATCTCCAAAATATGGTTCTGGGATTAAGAAAAGGAAAAAAGGTCACGTTTTGTTCTCTCAGGTCGCACACGTGTTTCTTGAGGCAGCTAAACATAAAAAAAAACTCACTTTATCGTTGGCGTTCTGCAGTTGTTTGTGCAGCACTGCAACGTCATGTTTGAGGGAATCCTTCTCCTGCTGCACAACACGGAGGTCCGACTTCAGGCGAGCACTTTGATGGTTGACAACCTGAAGAGTTTCATCTGTTGTCTTGACCTTCAGAGGAGAAGACATGCATTCATCCTGATGAATTTGTTCACACACGCAGACTTCAGGGTTTGGTTTGTTACAAATCCATGTAAATACATTGTCAGTAACTGTAAAATGCTTTGGAATCAGGCTACGAAAAGGCAGTTGTTCCAAATATTAACACCCTCTGAAGCCCCTGCAGGTTCCCGGCATTTTTTTGCTCCTTTCACATTTTTACTCACTGTGGGCTGATGTTTTAATGCACTATAAAGTCCTGCACCTCTATGAGAAGAGCACAACCATGACTAGAAGAAGAGGGAACTCAAAAATGTCTTTTTTGCAATATGACAGTTTTACTGTAAACATTTTACTACTTAGATTTTCAGTTTCTTTACATATTTGTCCTACAACTACTACCACTGACAGGTTTACAGCTCTACAGACTCAGTCCCTCTTCTTGCCTTTTCTATACTCAGTTTAAAACACTACCTGCAGTTCAGCCAAAACATCCCTGAATTTTTGTTGCAATGCAGAATATTTAATTTAGTTTTTTTTTACAGGATCTGGTGCAAATGGTTTATTTTTGGAAAATGTTAAAGTGATTTCAATGAAATATCTCAATCGTAAGCTTAATAATTGGTTAATTTTCCTGCTAAAAGTTGAAAGTCTGTCAATTTGTGTTGTTTGTACAGTTTCTGGATCTGATAAATGGTCATTTTAAAATAAATATAACATGCTTTTTAAACCCTGTTGCAGGGTCAGAGGGTTAAGATTCAGCTCAGAGAGAAACACTAGAAAACGTGGCAACTGATTCTAACTGTTTCAGCTGCAGCAGACTTACGTTCTCCTGAGCTTTGGCGAGCTGGTGGCGGAGGCCTACAGACTCTTTATCCACAGTCTTCTGCTCCTCTACAAGATGGCTCAGCTGACTCTCCATAGTGTCCACCTTGGCTGCCTGGAAACAAAAAGACAGCCTTTTTCTTTACTGCTAAAGTTAAACTCACATATCTCAGCAGATCACAGCTGCCTCAAGATGAGAAAATACTCAGTTTGCTTCTCTTCTGTTTGTTCTTCACGACACGTGAAGTTTCATTGTAGGAGAAAGTGGAGTTACTACTTCTACACTTAGTGTTTGTGTCACACTTTGATGGAGTTGATGTGAGAGCCATTGAAGTGCTCATAATCTGATGCTCACCTTCTCTCTGAGGTCGGACATCTGCTGTGACAGCTGGATGTTCTTCTCCTCCAGCTGTGCAGAGTCCTCCAGAGCTTTGGTCAACTCTGCCTCCAGAGCAGACACACAAGCTGCCAGCTAACACAAAACAGCCACTGATTAACTACCTGCTACGACCACCACGACACCATGACGACTATCAGCCTCACATTACTGTTTACCTTGTTTCTCTCTTCAGCGGGGAACGCCTCCCTCCTCTCGTTTTCCTTTATCAGCTCTGCCAGCTGCTGTCGTAGACTCTCCATTTCAGCAACATTCTGGGTGTTTTCCTCCGACAGGATCCCGTTCTCATCCTGCAGCTCTGAAATCTGGAGGGGGAGAGATAAATTAAAATCTCAACAGCTGCTTCTGAATGAAGAAGAGGTGATTATGTGAAGAGAAAAATCTGAATTTAGTTACCTGTTTCTTGAAAATCTCTGCTGCTCTTCCAGCTTCAAACTTCTCTTTGTTCAAGGAGTCCAGTGTTTGTCTAGAATTAAAGCAATGTCAGTTTGCATGAGAAAATAAAAACACATTAACGTGAATGATAAAATGATATCTGCTGCTTCTTACGTTAACTCATCCTGGGCCTCTTTCAAATCCTCTTCCTTCAGTGCAGCAATTTTTTGCCTGAGGATGACGTTTTCTTCAGCGAGACGACCGGCTTCAGACCTTTAAAGAGAAAAAACTGCGTTAGAAAGAGTCAGTGAAAGAGATTTCTACAAACTAGATTAAAACAATCCACATGGTGCATATTTAGAACACATCACAACCGCTACGTGTTGCTTAAAAGCATCTGATTCAAAGCTTTACAGACGCAGATGCGATCTACAGGGATCAAGGCAGCGAAGCCACAACTGTTCACCGCACAAAGGATTTAAAAGCTCAGTTACAAGTAGAACAACAGCTCTACATCGTGCTTGGGAGTGTTTATAACATGGAAGTACAAAGGGATGGGGTAACAGAGGCCACTGGAGACACGGAGGGACACGGAGGGTCGGGATCCTAGTTTTTCTCCACGTTACCTATGAGCCTGTGTCGTTTCATTTAATGTCTGCGACTTGTCTTGCAGCTCTGTGATGGCTCTGCGGAGTTTGGTGTTCTGCTTCTCAAACTCCTTACAGCAGTCCTCGAGGTCGGTCACCGCCTGCACTTTCACCTCCAGCTCGCCGTCCAGACCCACAAAAGCCTCCTCCGACTTATCGGCGTGTGGGTGCGCGGCTGAAAGAATGTCGTCCTGCGTCTCCAACCCACCGAGCAGCTCAGACAGCTTCGCGTTTTCTTCTCTCATCAGGCTGATCTCGTCCACAAGTGAAATCTGCTGATCTTGGAAGTCGTGGAATATATTGATCCTTCCTTCGAGGCTCCAAACCCTCTTTTCGAGCTCCCCGTTTTGATCCTTCAGTTTGGCATTTTCACACATGCAATCTTCATATCTAATCTGAAGATCGGTCATTTTTAAGGCCTGTATCTCCAGCTCTTTGACGTGCTCCATTAACAACAGCATTTTCACTTTGAGGCCGTAGTTTTCCTCTAAAATCTGGTGGCCAGTCTTGACCTTTTCACTGTTGTGAGCCAGTAGATTCTCGAGTATATCTGTCTTCTGCAGAAGCAAAGAAATCTTCTCGTGCAGGAGAACGTTCTCGTCTGTGGCGGCCTTATACAAAGCCTGTAGTTTTGGGACAGAGTTCTCCTGGTGCTCACAATCTGAATCTTCAACCAGAGTTTCCACACAGTCATGCTTTATTTCTGCGGTTAAATGTTCACAGCCTGAATCAAAAACGAGTTCACCTTCCCGTCTGTGGTCATGAGAGTTACTTGCTAAAAGGTAAACCTCTGCATCCTCCAGAGAAAGTTGACAAGGGTCACCTGTCTCCTCCGGTGTTGACGGCACGACCACAATCTCATGATGCCGCTCGTCTTCATGGGAAGAGCTTCCGCAGTCCACAGCTGGTACATCCTGAGGTTTGAGCTCCTCGTCACACGGTTTGAGAACTTCATTATCCTCACCGTCACCAAACGCCTCGAGTGATGAGGCAGGCTCACGCTGCATCCCTCGGGAAGCGGTTTCATGTTTGCTTTCAAGATTTTGATCATTTTCAGGGGATTCTGTGTTGTTGTGATCACAATAAGTCAATTCACAGCCTTCGTGAGAAAGAACATCGACCTCATCATCACATCCTTCACCAAAAACACTCTCAGGCCACAAGTCACGAGTCTCGGTCGTCTCATCCTGCACAACACTTGGATCTTCTTGTTCTTCATTATTAGCAGCATCCGTCACCTCGTTGTCCTCTCCATCATCGCTGGTAGAAGAGCCAACTTCATCATCAGCTTGATCATCATTTGCTATATTTTCAGTATCTTCCATTGTGGTCTCTACACCACCGTCTTGATCAAGCAGAGTTTGAGGTGGTTCACCAGATAAAGAGATACATTCACTGGTGTCTAGCATCTCCTCCATACATGTTTTAATCTCATTTGAATCCTTCATTTCCTCTTTCTCATCTCTTTCTGAAGAGGCCAAAAGCTGTTTCAGTTCCATCTCCAGCTCCTTTATTTGAATTTTCATCTCATCTCTCTCCGCTCGAAGCTCCTCTCCATCATTTTCTTGATAGTCTTTTATTTTTTCCTCAAGAAAGGACACATTGTCCTGCAGCTCCTTCCGCTCAAGCTCAAAGTCCAGAACTGCCTGCTTTAATTCCATCTCCAGCTCCTTTATTCTGATCTTAAGCACATCTCTCTCTGCTTGAAGCTCTTCTCTGCCGTTCTCGAGATTGTTCTTTAACTCCTGCTCAAGACTGGACACGTTTTCCTGCAGCTCCTTCCGCTCGAGCTCGAAGTCCACGGCTGCCTGTCTGAGAAGCATCTCCAGCTCTTCGATCTTCATCTTTAAATCATCTCGCTCGGTCAACAGTTCGATCCTCTCCATAACCTGCCTCTCAGAAATGGAACGTATCTCGTTGTATTTTGCCTCAAGTTCTAAGTTGTTGCTCAGAAGTTCTTCCCTCTCCTGTTTGAAATCCTCCACTGTTTGATTCAACAGGAGCTCAGTCTCAAGTGCTCTGTTCTCAGACTGAACAACCAGCTCATGTTTGGTGTCCAGGCTCTCCTGCAGCCTGTTGTGGATTTCATTCAGCTGCCTGCTCAGCTCTATTTCTTTAGTCTGGGCCTTACTCATCAAGTCATCCAGCTCATTCTGGAGCTCCTTGTTCTCTACCATCAGCGCTTCCATTTCTTCGCTGTGAACATTTTCTAGCTCCTGACGCTCTTTTGTCCACTCCTGATTTAGTCCCTCTCTTTCCTGCTCCATGGCCTCCTCCATCGTTTTTCTTTCTTCCTCAGCGCTCTCCAGAGCTTTCTGCATCTCTGCTTCCCAGTGGAGCTTCTGCGTGACGTGGCTGTCGGAAAGAGCCTTCAGCTCACTTTGGTAGTGCTGCTCGAGTTTCAAAACATCGGCTTGAAAACGCTCTTCGACAGATTCCTGATCACCTGAGAAACGATTTTCCACTTCTTTGATTCTCTGGTCAAAGCTGATTTCGATTTCCCTCCTGTACATAGTTATTCAAGGTTTGTTACAGCAACAAGCTTGAACTTCTATTAATGTAAACTTAAAAAACCTGAACAAAAAACGTTTTGTTTTTTTTGGCATTTTAAATACAACGAATAGTTTAACAATTTGAGAAATAGGTAAGGATCTGCACTGCTCTCATATCAGGCAACAGCAAGCAGATTTAGGCTTAGCATCGATTTCTAATTCTGAGCAAAAAATGCACATTTAAGGACAAACAAAGCCCTTTACAAGGAAACACAACATGGCTGGTTTCATCAGTCTGTTAAAATGACGGCTTTCTGTCATTCGCTTTATAATACATAACAATGCACGAAACAAACAAAACTGAAAGTCTTAATTAAAGGCAAATAAATAAGAAAGTTACTGCTGATGTGTCTCATGTGCAAATGTGCTCAAATGGATCCTGCTGCCGTTTGTCGCTACATGTATTCAATAAACTCAGAGGAAAGACTCCTGCTAACAGCTGGAATCAACCAACTAAACTTCAGCTCCTGTTAAGGATTTTTCCAAAACCTTGATTACATTTATAATTGGTGAATCTGACCCGTTAGTCTCAGGCTTCATCACAGTAAAATGTTATTTTTATGGACATTTCAGTTTGCATTAGAAGTGAAATTATAGAGGAAACAGACTGAGAAAGGCATTTCTGTGATTCTGGCTACAAACAGTGCTCTTTGTGAGGTTTCTGGACCAATATCAGTGCTGAAATGTCAAAAACTCCTTCCCAAAAATCGCTTCACACAAGGGAAAGTACTTGTGTTGCGTAGAAAGCGACCAAACTAGGAAGATTAGGGTCGCTTTGACAAACCTGCTCACTTTTCTGTTTGATAAACAAAAAGGAGTGGATGTCTGAAAGAGCGTATAACAAACATGATAAAGTGAAACTCTCACCTCTCCTGAGCGATGTCGTCTCGTAGTTTGTCCAACGTGGCGCTCAGTGCGTCCCTCTCCTCGGCGTGCTTGACTCTCAGCTCCTTCATGGCCTCCCGATGGCTCTCCTCCAGCTGAACCTTCTCCTCCTCCATCAGCCTCTCCACTCTCTTCTCCGCCTCCTCCTTCTCAGTCTCGAGCTTCTCCTTCTCCTCGTTCAGCCGGTCCTGGATCATCCCTTCGTAATCCTCCTCCAGCTGCAGTCTCTCCCTCTCCCACTCCTCCTTCAGCTTCTTCTCCCTCAGCTCAAACTGCTCCTGTAACTGCAACCTTTCTTCCAGCACCCTGTCGAGCAGAACCTCCTCGTGATGCTGCTGAAGCCGAGCTCGTTCGCTCTCCCACTGCTCCCTCAGCTTTCCCTCTTTCTCCTCCTGCTCCCTGACGAGTTTCAACATCTCCTCCTCCAGCAGCACCTGCAGAGACTCATTATTCTGCTCATCCAGCCGAGTCCTCTCTTTCTGCCACTGCTCTGTCAGTCCCTTCACCATTTCGTCACGCTCCTCCTCAAACCTCAGCTTCACCTCCTCTAGTTTGGCCTTTAGTTCATCCTCATGGCTCTCTTGCAACTGCTTCTTCTCTCTTTCCCAATCGTCTAGCAATCTTTTCTCCAACTCAGCCTTTTCCTCCTGCAGTTTCCTTGTCTCCTCTGCCAGGCTGACTTCAAACAGCTCTGCGTGCTCGTCCTTTAGTTTCTTAATCTCATCAACATGTTGGTTCCTCAGCTCCTCCATCTCAGTGACAAGGCTTTCACTGGGTTCCGCCTGCTGGGCTTCCAGGTTCTTCAGCTGCTCCTCCAGGTCTGCAGTGTAGATTTGGGCCTCCAGCAGCTCGTGTCTAAGGTTTCCCACCTCCTCTTCTTGCAGGTTCTCCAGGTCTTCCCTTTCTTTGGCCTGCTTCTCCTCCAGACAGGTCCGCTCCAGCTCCGCCTGCTCTAGCTGGTTCTGGAGCTCCTGTGCTCGGCTCTGAACACCGGCCATCTCCTCCTTCAAGGCCTGGACCTCCTGCTGGCACTGGAGGGTCAAAGCGGCTTTCTGGTCCTCATGGGTCGCCCTCTGTGTTTCTACCGCGCTGTCAAATTCACTGGCCTGAAATGATATAAAGAACACAGATGCATTTGTGAGGTAGATAAAAGAATTATTCATTCGGAGCAATAACTTCTTTACAGATCAAGCACTGCACCTCCACTGAATAACATTCTTATATTCCTTATTCCCCCTTCCTTGTTTTTTTTTGTTTGCACCTTGTAACACAGACTTTCAAAAGTGCCCTATAAATACAGATTATTACTATTGTTCATAGGACTGCAAATAAGGCTTATTTTCATTGTTGACTAATGTGTTGATTGTTTTCTTGAGTAATCGTTCAGTTGTCTGTTCTAAGAAACATCACAAAATTGCATTTCCTGAAGCCCAGGATGACGTCTTGTGTTGCCCAAAACCCAAAGATACTCAGTTTACTGTCACAGAAACCAGAAAATATTCACATTTAGGATGCTGAAATCACAGATTTAAGACTTTTTCCTCTTAAAAAAAATAATCAATCCAATTAAATAATTGTAAAAATAGTTTAAGAAATAATTTAATAGTTGAAAACCTAATCGCTAACGATCACAGCTCCAGTTGTTATGTCGTTAATGTTATGTAACTATTATTTTTAATATATGAAACTGAACATATTATGGTTTGTGAGTCCAGCATAACAAGCAATTTATTACATTCCTGCTTTTCAGACATTTTATAGATTAAACTGAACTTAATCAGCAAAATGATAGTTCATTTATCTATAAAGAAAATAACTGGAGCCCTGCATTACAATCATGAAGTTTTTCTTTTTACATTTGTAAAAGTTTGTTCAGTCATCTGCAGGGCACTATGAGCTACACTGACTGTATTATGGATGTTATACAAATAAAGTTCGACTGTCAAGTCTGGCATCTAAACTGCCCGCACCTAAACTTCAATGCAAGTCACAGATTTATACTTGTTTGTCACAGATAACATCTGGTTAGTTCACTTCTTTCTTTCATTTAAATACACAAAATTAGGCACTCAAAATGGTGTTTCTATTAGTCTGACCTTTGCTTCCAGCTGCTTTCGCAATTCCTCCACTTCTTGAAGGTGCTGCTCCTTCAGCTGCTCCAGCATCATCTCTGCTTCGAGGCTCATGCTGAAAGGTTGAACCTCCTCTGATCCGATACCTGCAGAAAGTCAAGTTAGAAGCTGGCCGGTTTCCTCGAGTTCTATTATGAGTTTTCTAGGAATTATACAGTTTGTGTGTATCTGTGTATTTTCGGTATTTACTGGGTCTACCTGGGTCGGACTCCATGCCGGGGCTTTTACTCTCCAGCTCCTCAGACAGAGGTTTGTGGCAGAGCTGATTAGTTTGACTGAGAGTGTGGAACTCCTGCAACTCCGACTGCAGTTCGTCAATACGATCCTGCAGCTCCTACAAAATAAGAGTGTGAAATAAACAAAAATGATCAAATCTCCCACTCTACTATTACACCTCACCTTGCATGGGTGGAGAGAAAAACTGACAGAAATAAATAAAACCTAAACTTTCTGTGATTTAAAAGCAATTACCCTGCACTGTCCTTCGTAGCTGCTGCGTAGTTGTTTAATACGCTCCTCTTGGAGAAGGAAATCTGCAGTTCCAGGGTCCAGGTCCCCAAACTAAAAAACATAAGATCACATACAAGTTAATGGTATATTTGCACAGAAACCATGAATCAAAAACAAAAAGAGCTCAGCAGAAACACAGAAAACACACCAAAGATCAAGTTGCAATCAAAAAGAAAGCAGGAAATCAACACAAAACAGTAACGTGAGCAGAAGTATGTTTATGCTCCAATAATAGAAGCAATAGAGAAAGTCATCATTCATGAAACCACCTGACTGAAAGCCACACCGCTGCTCTGTACCTTGTCTTTCATGATGTTGTCCAAACTGGTCTGGAGTTTGGTAACTTGGCCTTGAACCTCCTCTAGCTTCTCATTGCTGTCCAGTAACTCTGTTTCAAGACGCCTGTTTTCCTGAAAACATGTAGAGTTCAACAACAGAGGTTATGTTTCAGTGTTTGACCAATTATTCTTTTAAGGATAAACAAACAACATAGTGTTATATAGTGAGCAACGTGGGAATAACACACATACTGAAAGCCAAAGTCACCAACGTGTGTAAATGGCATAAAACTAACAAACAAATGTACCAAGTGATGCTACAACACATTTTCTGTACCTTCACTGAGATTGAGAGGTGGTCTCTGAGAAAAGATTCATCATCCCTGATCTTGTCGATCTCTGCCTCCAGTTCTTCACGCTGCAGGCCCGCCTGCTGCTGGATTTGATCCATCTCCTTCATCAGCTCCGATCGCACTGCTGCTAGCTTCTCTTTGTGCTCCTGCTCAAGCTTCCTATAGACGTTTATCCACAGTGAACACAGAATGTTAATGCTTAAATATCAAATAATACAACATCTGAGACAAAGAAGTATATAAAATGTTAAGTCTTTAGCTTGAATTTGCTTCTTTATTGGCAAAAAAACTCTTTTATGTTCGTAAATGCGAAGAAATTACACATCACTAATTAGGATTAATTGCAGTCTATGAATGTATGAGATGAACAGGGATGGCAGCTATAATCTCTTAGTGTTTTAATCCTTAAAATCCTCCACAGTAATGAGATTTACATCTAACAGAGATCTAAGGAGGAGACTAGACGTAGGAGGGACACATTAAATATTTAAACAAATAGGTTCAAACAGTCTGTCTAATCAGTAGAGTGACATCTAATATTAAAACTGAAGGAGAAATTGTTTATTCTGAGTGATAAATTACCTCAGATTGAGGCTATTCATGTGCTCTATTGCAGAGTGATGCTCGTCCACCTCAGTGGCCAGCTGAGTTTTCAGCTTCTCTGCTTTCTCCAGGTCTGATTGGATTTTCTCTTTCTCCCTGATTTCTCGGTCTACACGCTCACTAATAGGAAAAAAACAACAACAGCAGAAACAATAATTGTACAAAGAGTTAGATGACAAACAGAACGTCAGTAATCCTGCAGGATTTATTAATCTTGTTTTTATTTCACACCGAAAGCTCCAAAAATGATCCCAAATCTCGTTAATGAAGGATTAACAAACAGCATTAGGCACTGAATGAGCTGCATTACAGCGGTGACTCATACTCACAGGAGATATCTGATCTCAGCTTTGAAGCTCGCCAGTGCTGCTTGGTGAATCCCATTCTTAGTAACCAGCAGCTCATTTTCAAGCGCCATGGTGAGATCACTAAGACTCAGTTTTCCGTCGAGGCTGAAATTCAAAGCCTGGAAAAAAAAAAAAAAACATAAAGGGGGTTAATTAATGTCTTTTTTGGAGTTCTTCATCTTTTTAGTCAATCCACCTGTTTTCTTTCGTCCATCTAGCTGACTGTTTCAAAATGTACAAATGAACCGATATCACAGATTTATGATGCTGACGCCTGCTCAGAGTAACTTCAGGATGCTACCTGCAGGATCTCAGTGCTGTTTTCTATTCCCTCTTCTATCCAGGCGTCCAGGATGCATTCGACTGGAGTGTAGCCGGTACCGTCATCAAGGGTGGAGAAGAGCCGCATGCCGATGGAGCTGGTTAAAGCTGAGGGGGTCGCTATCCTCCGGCCGCCCTCATCAAAGGGCTGGAAGTAAACGGAAATGTCTCTTTTTACAATTTTGAGACCAAATATTGCTCGTAGATCTACAACTACAGCTGATACACATACAGGAAAACACTTCTGTCATGCTTTGTGTTTTTTGCTCTTATATCAAATCAGTGAACAAGTGTTGTTGGGAATTTACCCCAACCCAGCGGAGCTCAGCCAACAAGTAGCGTACCTGAGTGGAGTGAAGCCGTTTGAGCTGTCTGTAAGGTGTGGAGGCGGAGGGCGTGGGAGGTTTGTTGTGCTTTACAACCTTGGAAACGAACTCCTGAACGTTCATCACTCCATCACCTGTCAGACTCAGCAGCGTGTCTCCGGTAATCTGAAAGATTTATTTTGAAAAAGCAAAATTCTAAGTATCTTCTTAACACTGTATTTATATGTGAGTCAAGAATTAAACCTGCAATTTGTATATGATGTTAAACAGAGCTGCAGAGATCAGTTGATGGACAACATAAAACTTAATATTAAACAATCATATAGGATAAGCAAGTGAAATCATAAATGATCAAGAGTTCCAAAGCAGATACTAAATGTTGTTTATGGTGAGATGATTTTATTAATGTAAATCCAAAAAATAAATTGTATAATCGTATTGATAAGGAACTATTGCTGGAAATTAAACATTTTCTCAGTAACAATAACTTTGCAGTCCCCTCCATAAAAACTAAAGATTTAAAAATGACTTTCAAATTTAAAAACTTAAATCTAATAAATGATTCCAGTGTTTGTTGTTGCTGCATTTCCTTTTCTTAGTGGTCATTTAATCATATTCCACCAAAATCTGCCCCAGCTATAGCTTTGTGGGAACTCACAATTTCACCCATGGGGCATAGCAGCAAAAATAATAACAGGTTAATCTGCACTTGACCCAAGTAACATCAAACACAACCCCATGATAACTGCTTCTTTTGCAGCCACTGGATAAAAGCAACTGATATCTTACAGAATAAGCAAAGTGAGTATATATGATAAAGAAGCACTTTCCTAACGTACTAAAAGACAGCATAACAGTGTAATGGAGTTCTTGGGTAGCAGGAAATGCACATTTTCTGGACTCAAATTATGAGCTCAAGTAAAAAGAGGAAAAAAAAATATGCCGACGTGATTTTGAAACTTTTAACTTTTTTAGTAATAATTACATTTAAAAAAACTAAAATAAAATGCCGTCAACTCTCCGTTCAGCCTTAAACACACCTCCAGGCCCACATGTTCACAGAGAGCGAGCAGCTCAGTGTGTCCGGCACATCCGTCCCACGTTATGGCCAAATCCTCACAGGCTTCACGCAGTCGCTCCTCTAAACGGGCCGACAGAGAACCGCTGGATCCCCGAGGTGTGCTCGGCTCATCGGGGTTCCAGAGATGCATCTGACCTGCAAATAAAACACAACACGGATCATTTATTAAAAACTATCTGCAGCATGTAGTGAAGCTTCTGAGCATGCTGCCAGTCTGACGTACCTTCTGCCTCATACTCCTCTGTGCTTGTTTCATGAGCGTTCCAGCGCTGTTAGAGACAAAAAAACACACAGAAACTGAAATTAATATTAAAACCAGTGAGTTTAATTCGACTGTCTGGCCTTTCTATAGCAACAGGTTTACACAATCAAAATAGAGCAACTCATCTGTGAGAAACATGCCACAAACCCCCAACTCAGGCTGGTTTTCTCATGTGACAATCAGCTGTGTTTAAACATGTTTTTAAATTAGCCAAGGTTGAGCCTGAATGTGAGGGGGGGGCGAGGGGGCCGGAGACGCTCATAAAAAAAACACAAGGAAGCTTTTGTGACGGCACGAGTCCTGACGGAGGGTCAGCGGGAACGGTGACAAAGAAACCGTGTCACGGACGGACACACTTCGCCTTTTTTTTTCTTTTTCAGGCATTTTAATGTTAATATTATACTCTCTATGCTAATGTGCAGCATAAAATTGAAAAGCAAGCAAGCAAATAAAAAAAAAAAACAATCTAGAGCTCTAAAATAAATAGAAACTGAATGTGCCATAAGGCCAGATGATCAGGTTTATGGAAAAAGTTATTTATAATATATTTAAAGGGGACCCTTTTTAAATCAACTTGCAAGTCAGAAACAAAAAAAATTTAATGCTTTGTTTTTGTTGCTTCTTACTTAAGTTTTAATAGCAAACAATAAATGTCAGATGTAGTAAATAACATGTAAACAAAATAATCCGAAATGATCAAGAGCTTCATGAAAAGATCCTTAATGGGCCATAAGGTGAGCTCTTTTTTTTTTTTTTAAAGATAAACTTGCATTGTATTTATTGGGACTTGTTGCTAAAAACTTTATAAATGAGAGTTGCCAGTTCTCAAAAATTGGTTTAAAAATCATTTTTAAAGAAAAATTTCAGGACAAAGGAACTTTTCGCAGATCTACTTCACTAAGGGGAGATGTGTGGGAAAGGGACAAACGTATCCAAAGGTTTCCGACAGACTTCAGCAACTGTCTAACTTCAGAAAAAAACATTTAATTAGCAACATTTCGATGCTGGACCTTCATCAGACAAATCATATCATGTTTTTTTATAGCATCAAAATGAAAGCATTTTTGCAAATTAGACAGTTTGTGTGAGATGGTTGGAAACTTCTGGACTAAAAAAATGTAACATCTTTGCTTTTGTACCTCCCAAACAAGCAAATATATTAAAAAGAAGAAGAAGAAGAAGATTTAAAACCTTCAAAAACACATGCCTAATGAGATCATCTTGTTAATGTTAAAAAAAATAATTTCAGTTGCATTCTTTGGGGGTTGTTTCTGAAAATGAAACACTTTCTCAGATAAAAAACAAAAAAAAACACCCTGTCAGTCCCCAAAAACAGTTTTGTTTGCCTTTTTTTTTTTGCTTTTGTTGTTCTTAACAGACGTTCCACAAACAAAGTTTTTCGCGTGCTGAGAAATATTAAAGAGGGGTGTGACCCACAGCGCTGCAGCTCAGTCCCACAGCGTCCATCTATTGTCTGAGGAGCCACAGTGAGGGAATGAAGAGCAGATGGGATCCTGCAAGTGGCGTTTTGATACATGGAGTGTCGGCATGCAGAGGAGGAGGGGAAGCAGAGCTCATTGTTCCTCTGTCACAGTCCGACACCCTCCTCCTCCCAAAGCACCGGGCCTGCCGTCTCCGTGGCAGAGCCCCCTGACCCATCCCCATCTGCTGGTCCCCAGGCCGGACATTGTAGCATTGTTGCTGCCCAGATTAGTCAACATCAAGACACACTTCAGTTCAATGTCTCGGATTGTGTTTGTCTTGGCGCTGGCGGCCATCTGGGGTGGAGTCACAGACAATACACAGAATATTAACATGTCCATCCGTGCTCAAGCTGAACTGGCCATCATTATACCGTTTTGGTGAACTGGTGCTCTTTGTTGCCGCTGCTGCAGCACATTCAGACTAGTGTCAACCTGGCAAAGGTCTGCATCAGCATGAGGAATTACTGGGCTGTCTGAAGACCGCAGCAGTTAGCAAAGTTACCATAAACTCTAAAGAAGCTTTACAATCCTGACAGAATTGGGTTGCATCCTGCATGTAGGTAAAAACTTCACAGATATTCTACTCCCTAATCCCAGACATGTACACACGATAACACTGGAAAATAGTGATGCAAAACTATTGTGCCAGAGGGCAGGGAACAGTGCACCATCTCATGTGATCTCATGGGGAGCAGGTGTAAACAAAATGGAAACTGTGGTGCAACAACTTGCTGTGACGCCAATAACACTTTGTAGTGAGAAAAAAAATCAAAAGCACTAAAAGGCAAAACTAGTGTCAATGAGAAAACCTTCAGGAAGATGCGATCAACACAGGTTGGCTACACTTCAGTCAGAACTAGAAGTGAGATTTAATGATCAGTTTTAACACCTGTTGCTAACGTTAGCCTCAAGGGCTAGCATGTTGACATCTGCTACTCCAAGTGCTAGCATGATAATCTATACATCCACATTTAAACAGGTAAATCAGCCCAAATCTTCAGTAGTCGTAGCCCAGCATTAGGCGTGCATGCACAATATCTATTAACCTGTTGACTCTTTTTTTTTGTTAATTGTTTTGTCTTAAAAAATAAAATATAACTGCATATAGATTAGATCATTAACTAATTAGCTGATCAACAGGAATTTGATTAGACATTATTTTGATAGCTGCAGATTTGTTTTGTTCATTTTTGAGTACAACATTTGCTATTTACAGCATCCTAGATATGCAAATTTTATGCTTTTCATTGTTAAACATGATAAACTGAATATATTTGTGTTTTTAACAACTGGTTGGACAAAAGCACCTTGAGGCAATGAGATATTATGATGGGAATTTCTCACCATCTTTAGACATTTCACAGACTAAGGAGACAATCAAGAAAATAATGAACAGATTAATCAATAATGAAAATAACTGTTAGATGCATATCTAAAACAATCAATTAATTATACTTGCATAAAACAAACCATTGCTCATGTCATTAGGAACACCTGTTCTTTTTCTGCTGTGTCAAAACAAAAGATCTGCTGTGAAACAGCCCAAGGCAGTGTTCACACCCTGATGTATTTACTGAATAGTGCACGACATTTACCCTGTGCCATGTTATTTAATATTTAAACACTAAACAGTGCACTGCCCTGAAAAATTCCCACAATAAAAAAGAAATGATGGTTGTACAACGCTCTCTGCAAACGGCTGCAAAATGCAATGAATTGTGTTTTACAGATGTGAAAATTAACGTAGTGCAACTCGACGACAGTTACTGATAATGCTAAATGATGATTTAGTGTCTAAAAACTCAATTCCTGGGAAACGTCAAGGCCTCTCCTGGCTCAGACTGGGTTTTTGAGGGTCAACTACTCATGAAAATCAAAAATACAACCATGTAAAGTAAAGGCAACCAGTCTGTGTTGCCTTTTCTGACACAAATCTGTGCATTGTACTATTATTTTTGAGCATGGAATCAGGGTTGTGCTGGCAATGAAACCCTAGTTGACAATTGACATTAATTCTAATGCTGATAAAAAAGGACTTCATAACCTAGAATCACTGCTTCTTCATTAATCACATCGACTAGTGATTAAAAATAGTTTTCTTTTAATCAACCACTCTGATAAATTGAGCACTAGTTCATTTCTTTACCAGCCAACAAGCGAGGACCTTGTGATGTTACTATAAGTCTTCCACCCTTTCTGTTGCAGGTCATGGATGCTCAGACAGAATGTGAGCTTAGGCCTTTCTACATATGTTAAACAACTCTCTATGTCAGCACAGAAAGCTGGATTATCCTGGAAGATCACCAGAGGAACCATGCAGAGTGTTCAGCTGGCCATGACTGAACTGATGCTATACAACACCGTGGCACTGAAGCATTCGCTCCATCGCAGGCTGACAACACAACGCGGCACTACACAAACACTGTAGGAATGTGTTGATTACCCAAGGCTTGTTGAACAGTAATTATGCTCACAGCGTTATTTACAGACAGTATGAAGCGGTTACATAATGAATAGGGCCTGTGTTAGAGTGTCTATATTACATTTCAGGATCTGGCCTGCATGACACTAAGCTGATTAGCTAAGAATAACGCCTCGGCGCTGCTGAGAAACACAGCACATGCAAGGCCAGGAGGCGATAAGGATGGCATCGAGGTGTCTGGAGGTTCAGAGCGATGCTGGAAAAACTCATCAGTCTGAGCCTTTTACCTCACGCTTCCTGGGAACAGCTGAGTCATAGTTGTCCTCCAAATCCTCGCCGTCAGCTGTGCTTACGTTTGGAACTTCAGACAAGTCCGAAATAGGCTCTATGAACTCCGGCGTCGAGCGGCGCCCGTAGCGTTTACTGCCCTTCACAAACTTTGGTTGGATCTCAGGAGACTCTGAGGAGATATAATGACAAAGAGACAGAATTATTAGCAGGAAACAGAGGACACAATTAACCACAGAAGAAAATCCCAATGACTAACATTTACCCAAGCAGCTCTACTTCTCTAAAGCCAATAACTTCTCTAAAAATAGTGACCAAAGAATGTTTCAAAGCCACATGTTCCCATTTGATTCACTAAAACAGACATAAATATTGACAGCGCTGCATTTACTCTGTTAATGATTTGACACAAATATGTTACACAATATAGTCATGATAAGCCTAAAGCCTCAGAGCACAGGTCTTTGTTTTCCTCCAGAAAATGGAGCGTGATGAATCAAGGAATGAACATAGAGACAGTAAGGCCTAATCAGAAACAAATGTGAGCACCATTTAATAGAAGTTCCACAAAGCTTCAGTTTCTGCCCGTCCAAACTAAAAAAAACAAAACTCTGCAACTTTAGAGCTCTAAAGCTAAAATGTTGTCTGCAACTTCTCGATTTTAGGGTTCCTAAAACTCTAGAGTAGTGTGGAAACTGAAAACATATTAGCATTCATGTCGCCTCAGTACCTGATCTAAAACACAAAACGAAGAACTATGATCATAAAACTAGGGATTGACTGATATGGGGATATTTTAGGGACAATACCAACACTGATTATTTCAAATCAAGAAAGACTGATAACCAATTTTTGGAACCAATATACATTATGTTATAATTTAATAGCATGTGATAGGAGCAGGGAGTCCGTCATTCATAACTAGGCTGCTTCATTAATAAGGATTACTACAGCTGAATATCTACACTAGCAGTAGGAGTGACAGTGTCAGGATGTTAGGACACCGTTTACTGTGATATCAATTGATTGAGATTGATCAGTCTGTCTCCTGCAATTTCGTCTGCTGCTCTGTTAATATTTCAGTGTTCTGTCGCCTTTATTTCCCACTAAGGCCCATATCTTATAGCACTATTTGTTGCCGTTTTCCAGACACTGTTTCAGGGTAATCTGTGCCTGCCTTCTCACTTTAGCTGCAAGCCGTTAGCGTAGCCTTAGCCGCTGTGAAAGTAGCCAATTTCCTGGTTTGTGGCAACGGCTGGTGTTTTGTTCTGCTAAGGAGACTCTGCTGAGACCACAGAGTGATTACAGATAGAAATAGGCGGCTGCATCAGACCCAAAGCAGCACATTTAATTCATAAATAAACAGTTAATAAAAACAAGGATACAGATAATTGGTAAAATGCCAAATATTGTCCATGATTATCAGTCTATCCCTGGATAAAGCCAGTCTCTGTGTCATCCACACCTGAATCTAAAACAACAAGCCATGCAAGTGGTCCAACCACGACAGTGCAAACAGTCTGAATGTCAGCTAATTGGCTTTGGGCCCGAGGTTTTGGCTCTGTGCCTCTGTATGTCCATTTACTGCTGCATCAGCATGGGGGCTGTTCCACTTGCTCAGCCTGCAAAGTCACCTTTTACACTTTGGTGACTTGGTGAATGGAAAACTTAATCTTAAAGTTCAATGATAACTTACATTAGTTAAAGATGAAGTTATAGACTTCACGCTCTGTGCTTTCAGGCTGACATTTTAAAGACATTTGAATGCAGGAAATTTAATCAAAATATGTCACAGTACAATCAAGACTTTACCTGGTTTTGGCAAAGGCTCCTGTTCTGCCTGAGGTTGCTCGATGGTCGACGACAAAACCAGAATAAGTGCATTCTTGAACTGGTCAAAGTCAACCTGCAACAAGAATTAAAAAGATCATGTTGGATGCAATGCGAGCAATGCTGAATATGCGAAGCACAAAAACAAAAACATGAAATTCCTTAGAATGGGTGTAATTCCCTGTGAGCTGGGTGGAGGCTGGGTGTCCCTGGGTGGAGGAGGGTTGGAGCAGGAGCAGGGAGGTCACACTTCAAGAATCAACAGCTGCTAACCCTGAATATGGTGATTTTCTTTGTGCTTTGGAGGCTGACGGCTGGCGGCTTTAGGTTGTGGGAAGGGGGGGGGCTTTTCTTTTTGACTATATTGTTGGATGCCATGGGTAGGCAATCAGTCCGCTGGCCCCTCTGTTAACATTTACACCGCCCACACACACCCGCACATTCAAGACAATAGCCACCCGTCTGTCCACACGCTTACATACAAACAAAACTTCCAGCGAAAGTGTGGAGGTAAGCAAAACATGAAGACTCAACACTGGAGATCCTCTGAACGTACACTGAGGAGCACAAAACTGACCAGCGTCTGTTCCTGTTTCATACACTTCCACATGAAGCACCCTCAGAAAAATGCATGTGTGAATGTTGATTAGCTTGGTTGTCTTGACGACAGACACCTGTGATTAGGGCTGATGGGGGGGACGTTTTCTCCTCAACAAGACGGCGAACAAAGCACTGCAGACTCGAAGACCTGAAAGCTGGAGTGGCTCTCAGCGCAGGTGTCGGCAGATATCACATGAAAGCCAAGCGGACCACAACTCAAATCAGAAAGGGGGAAGAGCCATTATCTGGCAAAGACAGATTTTCAGAGGAATAAAGTTACCCTGGCAGTGAGGCGGTCCTGGTTCTGCAGCAGCGCTTGGAGGAGAGCTGGTGCGGCATCGTCCAGGTGGAGTGACTGGCAGAGATCGGAGAGCTCCTCTGGGCACAAAGAGCCGCGGCCGCTGGCGTCGAAACTGTCGAAAACTTCTTTCAGGCGCTCCTCGTAGTGGTCCTGCTCTTGGCCGTCATCCATCCCACAGGACAGCACCCTGGCCTGAAAGACAACGAATGAAAATCCCACACTTTCTATTACGTTTCACAACAATATTCCAGAAAAAACTGTGCCAGAGGTGCCGCCGCTATAGTTCAACTGGTTGAGCTGGCGACCCACGTACAGGGGCTACAGTCCCCGACGCAGCGGCCATGGGTTCGAATCCCGCTCATGGCCCTTTGCTGCAATTCCTTCCCCCATTCCTCTCCCACACTTTCCTGTCTCTCTCTCGACTGTCCTATCTAATAAAGGCCAACAAAAAAAACTTAAAAAAAAATGTTCCAGAGGCTAAAATATCATCACTCTAAACTTACAGAACAAAGCATTCAATCAGAAATACTCACAAACAGGGTGGGAGCATGTATCTCAACAGTTTCTAAAACCATTCATCCGAGACCTGCACTCAGCGACTGAGCTTTCAACCTACTGCTCCAGCGTCAGTTCTGGTGGAGGCTTTGGTTAATCCAATTACAATGATTAGACAGTCAGGTAAATTGATAGACGTAGCCAAGACTCCCTTTTAGCCGGGATATTTAATGACCCGTGTAATTCAATTTGAAACGCATGAAAGGAGGATTTAACTTTATACGGCTGCGTGTGGTTAATAAAAAGTCTCCGTTCTTATAAACAGTATGAATAAATAAAATAAAAACATAATAGCAGTGGCTTTTGTTCATGTTGGCGGAAGTCTTCGGCCTAAATGCTCTTCAAACTGGTGACACACACAAGGACAAACACAACAAAGTGGCACCGAACCAAGTGGAACAATCAGCCAGGGACTAATTGAGAAGGTTACACTGAGCGCTGTGCCAACATTTACTAGCTGGCTGGCAGCATCAGTTACAGACACACGGACCAAGTTTTTGTTCTTTCAGTTTGGATGCATCATCTCTGTAATTGAAAAACAATGAAAGCAAGCGGACAGAGACGAAGGCCCCGAAACAGAAGTTTGGTTACAGCAAGATAATGAAACGCACAGAAAAGACATGTTTCTCTCAGGCAATCACACAAACAACACATCTTATCTATGCAAAAGGAGAGGCTGACATGGAAGCAAAACGAAAAGAAAAAGTCTCTGTAACTGAAGCAATGACATAACTAATAGACGCAATCACAGAGGTCAACCACCTGAAGCTTAAGGAAGCTAAAATGTCAAAGAACATGACTGGAAATAGCAGAGAGAGCCGAGCAAAGTAAAGCACGCATATACTTCTATTTTTACTTGCAAAAACTTTCCAGAAATTTCATGTCTGGCTGTTGCATCACTTCACTTTGCAAACGTATTTCATCTAAGCACTGGGACTGCTGCCACCACTTGTACGTTCATACAGAGAGTCCACTGTTCTACGTTTTTTTTCCATCCTTTTTTAACTTTTTATATACTGTGTGTACAAATTCAGCTCAAAAGTAAGAGCATACCACTTTATCTGAGGAGTTAAACTTCCCCATGTGGGCTTATGCGCCTATTAGGGCTGCATGGTAGTAGAAAAAACTGACACTGTGATAGTTTTGTGAAAATAATAAAGGAATTTTCACCAATTAATCCCCCTATAATGACTGGGAGGATTTTTTAGGGAGTTTATCAGCACTGAAAACAAAAAAAAATCATGTAAAATGAAGCTGATAAGAGCTGTGTGGATGTGGTGTAACACTTGAAAAGTCATCCAAACTATTTTTTCTTTTTGCTATGGATGGCTTTCAGAACTGCTCTTGCACCCTTTTACAGACCTTTTTGGTGCCAATTTAAATCAGCTTGCATTTCAACAAACTCAGCGTCTTTTAAATAAAGTTAAAGAAAGTCTGTGCATCCAGATCCCTTGAATTAGAGCAAGTCATTCTATATCAGATGGACTTTCCTTGTGGATTAGTCTTAAAAATGAAAACGCATCAAGCCACAAAAATAAAAGTTGTACCATGATTGAGTTTACGTTATCACTTCACACCTAATGACTGTTATGCATGTGGACATTGGAATGTCAGTGATATCAATGATGTATTGTGCAGCCCTAGTTTCCATACAATGAGCACAGATATAATTTTCCAGCTGCCCTCCCCGAGACCATCAAGCGCTCGGCCAGGTGTCCCCCCCACACTCCAGACTCGGGGAACCCATTCACCACACACAATGGGCTGTCCACAAAAGCCAAATCAGTATTCTGCATCTGCACATTTGAGCAGCTTATGAAATGCAGGAAAATAATGTCTCAGCAGTGCAGCAGTTAATCTACAACTACAATTTGTCAAGAAACTGGGCAACAATAAAACACGATCAAATCAAATGTTGGAAAACTACTCATAATCACAATATTTTTTGCTGCATTTTACAAAATGAGATTCTTTCTGTGCACTTTGCTTCAATGTTTTCAAAGCCATTAAGATTGCTTTCTCCAAACAACCTCTGAGCCAATTATCCCAGTAGCCTCTCTGCTCGGGCCACAGTGGGTCATGGTGGGCCGACAGCTGCCGTGGTCAAAGATTCACACCAGTGCAGGTTGCAAGAAGGAGGTTAATCCTCCCAGCATCCCAGCATCCACTGGTAATGGTGTTAATTATCACCACAGATGTCAGGCAGAAAAGTGCAAATTACAAAACTTTTCTTCTGCACTGCATTTCTGGTGTTGAATAGGAGGTGATTCCAGAGAAATCAGTGCATCTGACAGCATCACATCTCCACAAAACATCACTCAAGAGCTACAGCAAGTTCACACTTCTTCTGTTTAAAGCAAATATAAAATGAGAACGATGAAAGGCTTACAAATCACAAAACACTGAGGAGAATACTCATTCATTTAGTAGCTGACAGCTAATCGATTACTCATCGCAACTCTTATTTAAAACTAGCAGTTTATGGTCTTTGTGGTATTAAAGGTCTCTATGGTATAATTAAGCACTGAAACAACAACAAAAAAGCAAATAAACTCAGGAAACTTCATGCAAAATGCACAGAAAACCCATGAAGTTGACTAAACCTGACATTACTTTAATATTTAGTAGCATTTAAACAATTTTCACAGATCCAGCTGCATGAAAAGTAAATCAACAACCATTTCTCATGTCATTAATTCCTGATTATATTATTTTAAACAGCTTAAGTACTGTACTGTACTGTACTTTGGTGATATAATAGTTGAAAATAAAGCTTTAGAGGATTATAAAACCAGCTGTGGAAGATGCTAACAGTCAAAAATGACAAGATAAGTTACCTGAATGTGGCATAATTCACTTGAAACACGATTAAAATCTACTAAACAGCTGCCTTAATGAATTTTTCTACACTAACTTTTTAATAACTACACTCGAGTACAGCTTAAAAGTTAGCTATGAGCTTCACAACCAGCTTAACTAGCTGTTCAGTAGTTTGGTTAGCTTAACTTGACATAAATAGGAAAGTGATGGGCTATGCTAACGGGGCTAATGTAGACGGAGTGTTAGCAGGCAACAGTTGGTTAATTTTATCCTAAAAATATTAAATTAAACAGCTGGTAAAGAGTCAGAGACAGCGTCTAATCTGTAGGAATAAATTAACTCACCGAAGTGTCCAAACTTAGCCGAGACTCGGCTCCGTCTCCGGCTGAAATTTGGTGATAAAACGCGGCTGTGAAAGCAGCTTGAAACTACAACATTTGTCCGGCAGCAGCTCCGCAGGTGAACCGTCACTACCCGGCGGCTAGCTTAAAGATGGAGGCGTCCCAGAGTACGATAAATAAAAAGCTGCTCCGGGGTTTGGTGTCCGCTTTGTGTCCTCCGCTGCATCATCCTCCACTGGCTCGTAGCGGATTTTGAAAAGCGGTAGTTGGAGGAAGGGGCGGTGACCGGGAGCCTGACTGGACGCAGCCCGGAGCCCAGAGGCCAGGGGCGGATCTAGAGGCTCCGCTCCTGGGGGGCCACATGAAGCCACCAGGGTGGGTACATAAACATTAAAAAAAAATCTACTGAATTTCATCATGACAGCTAAAAAATAATAATGTGCCAATATGAGAATTTTAAATGATATCTATTGTTTTTATTTATTTTTTTATTTTACAGTTAATGTCGCTATTGGAGCTATTTGTTATTATTATCATCATAATTTTTTGTAATATTTCATAGTTAAATATTTAGTCATTTATTTTGTTGTTTTGTTTGAAGAATACAGCTTTAGTTGCCGTATAGTGATATTATCATTTTTGCTAATTTGAGTAGTTGTTAATGCTTTTATTTTGAAGGTACAGGGTAGCTGGGGCACCAGGGCAAGAGAGGCGGCAGGAGCCCTTGTTCCTTTGGTTGCAATAAAAATAAACCGAAGAGACTTTATATTTTTGCCTGAGCAATGGAGTTATTTTCCCTGTGTAAATTAATTCCTGAGGTGCCTCAGTGGCCATTTGATTTGATTTTGTTTAATTTTTATTTTGATAATTTTGTTTATTTTATTTTTTTAATTATTCCTCTCAGGACAAACAGCTACTACAGTCACTAATTGGGTCAAGCTGGCTCAAATAATCAAATTTTCAGAATAATTTCCATCTCTGATTTTCCTGAAAATTGTGTGAGTATGAAATATTTACATTTTAAAGATATTTTTGTAATTTTAGCTTCATATATTAAATACTTTTTGAGATTTAAAAACATTTAAAAAATCCCCATTCGACACACTTTCTGAACAATTTTTTTTTCCACACATTAAAGTTTCAGTCTGCATTATGTTAGTTACAAACTACAATTGTTCATCATTTCATTGACTGTTGCATATTTGCAGCCTTCTCTCTTCCTGACCACCAGGCTGACAGTGTGTTAGCCACAGTATCTGGATGGTTATCAGAAAAAGTACAGGTGTATCTCAAATAATTAGAACATCGTGAAAAGGTTAATTTTTCTTTTTATAGTTTAATTCAAAAGTGTACTAGAGTTCTGCTATAAGACATAATCAGCAACATTTTAAAAAAAAAAAAAAAAGCCTTGAAATACTGAAAAAAAAAACAATTATGAATACAGACTGCATAAAAGCTGACCCATTTGAAAATAATTAATTAATATATAATTTTTGAATTGGTTGACCACTATTGTCTATCTTGACCAAAGAAAAAATGTATGTCAGAGCACAATGTGTTCACTGTAGACACTGGAAATGAACACACAACGAGAACAAAAAAACGAGGCTATAATTAAAACAATACAGTGCATTCTTATGTTAAGTAGGGCAGGAATGTTAGTGTTTTCTGATCCATAAAATAAATAAAAATGATTGTACAAACAGAGATACAAACTGCTGCAGTGTATTCAAGTATAGGCCTGTATATGATGTGGTATTATTGTCTTACCTGAACTTGACACTGCTTCACCCAAATAACCAAAAGGTACAGAAAGTACAAAAAAAACAAAAAACAACAAAAATTACAACCTTCAGCCTCTTCCATCTCAGAAATTTCACCAATGCAATGTGACATTTCTTTCTAAAAGCAGAGCCATTGTTCCTGTGGTTATCCACAGGGCGCAGCATAAACAGTTTCCACTGGAACGACTTTCTACTGTTTTCTGCTGTATACAGTAAAAAGGACTTGATCTCCTCATAAATCCAAATTTAAGTCCTGCAGACAGAACAACTGCCATGAGTCTTTAAAGTCCCCTCTTTCTTCAGTCTTTGGACTATTGATGCTAAAATTCACTCTCTTGACCTCATCCTGGACATAAAGTGGCACTAGTTGGTCTGTAGGAGGCGACATAATGACATGAAGT